TTTCCTATGAAGAATGGTTCTTACAAATAGTAGAACTTGATGAAACAAGGTGTGAGTGGGGGAACACTCCTCTGTGTGTGTTCACACCTCCACAGAAGGGACACTCTCAGAGCATGATTCCTCCCATTGGTATCTCTCGCAATTGCCTGTTTTTAGTTACCTAGAGATTAAGTACACTGGAGAAACCAAGGGCCTTTAGCAAAGGAACCTCACAAAGCACAGCAATGAATTCTTCATTTACATGGTCTTATTCACCTCTGAAACCCTAGCATCTAGGGTAATGCCTGGTGACCTTGTAGAAGTTCCATGAAAATATACTCTTCAAGGAGATGATGTTTTATGAACACATAATGCTTCAGAGATATTTCCTATCCAAAATCTGCCAACATATTTTAGCTAGACTTTATCTGGCTTATCTCAACCTCTGTTCATCAATGACAGTATAACAATAATTAGGACCATCTATGTAAAAAGACAAATGCAAACATGTCAGTATGTTGAGAAAACAGGCAAGAATGATATTTCTTGCCCCAGGAACATTAAAAGCTGAGTCACTTAACATTCTCTCCAAGAAGAAAAACCAATTACAACATCAAAAACTACATTTTTTTTTTTTAAAGAAAAAGATATCTTTTTTCTTTAAAAAAGCAAGAGCCTCACAGAAACACTGTTTGTTTTTCATAGAGCTTCAAATTTTAGTCTGATTCCAGGCTCTGCCCATTTCTTGCTTTTGCAGGGTCTGAAAAGTCAATTACTCTAAACATAATCTGCAGTCTTAGGAGCTGACACTTTGCCAAGTAATTTAAAATGCTTTGCTAAGGAAAACTCACAATTTTTCTCTTTTCTTTGAGATGATGCTATGGCAGTAACTTGTGTATACAATTAATTCATCCCTGAATATTTGCTATTAGTTCAAAGAGCTGAGAACTTGGGTATTCAAAAGGCAGAGAATACAGGTGCCTGACTCCTTGCTTTTGCTGACTTGCCTCCATTCTTCCAAATGTTGATCATAGATGAACTGGTATACTGGGAACGGTGCTTCACAGGCTAACTTTCATAGAAGTTGCATTCATTGCCATCTAAGACTATAATTACAATTATCAATGTGGGCATACTTCTGAAACACACTGTGGGAAATTCTCAAATGCCCTGAAAAATATACATTAACACATACTGCAACTTAAAGATGAGGCATTTCTTTAACATTTTTGGTTGGCCTTTTCAATTTACACCTTTGTAAAAAATTGCCTTTAGTGTAACATTTCGCACTTTGTCAATGCTTAACAAAACTTGGTTGGATGAATCGACAGATATTTTCTTATAATATTCTTTTAAGGCAAAAGATCCCTAAATATTTTTACTTAACCATGAGTAGGAGTAAGAGTCCATTGTTGATGAAGACAATGGATTTGGGATCTTCATCATTAACAGAGTTGGCTAAGGGCTTGTCTATTTAAGTTCTTGTTGGCTATGGACTTTTCTGTCTAAGTTCTTGCCTACCTCTGATATTCTCTAAGTTGTTCAAGGTCACAGTGGAAAAAGCAAGTGAGGGTGTCATAAATGGAACTAGAATCTTTGAACTTGTCCCCAGAATTATTGGCTATATTTCAAGAAACATCTGCTCAGAGAGGTATTTTCCACTGGAGAGAAAGTAAATAATCTCTGAAAGGAACTGCCCAGTCTTCATGAAGAATTGAGAGCTACCTAATCAATCTACAGTATAGACAGTGACCATTAAGAAAACTGAAGGTGGAAGTGAAGGACACAAAATGAGTTTTAGTCTGTTGTTATTTGTTTCCACGCACAGATTCGTTCATTCATGGAGGTATTTTATACCCCTCCTAAAAACTGGATAAAGCACAGCTTGAGTCATGACCTGTTCCTGAAACAGGTATCTGTTTGCTTATCAGTAGATCTTATTTCCACATGTACTTAGGCACTCAATAATTCTGAGCACCTTCTGTGCCAGACTGGGCTAAGTGTTAGGGATACAGCAGTGAACAAAATAGATGCTGTTTCATTCATTGGCCTTGCAGCTCAGAATGTGAGACAGCCATTCGGTTTAAAAATCACATAAATAAATGTACACTTATAAATTACTTGAGTCAAACAGGAAAAGAGAGAGAGAGACTATAGCAGGAGACCTGATTTTCTCTTTCAAGGAGCTTCTCCGCCGAAGTACAAGTTAAACTCAGACCTAAGATGACCAGCAGTTCATCAGGCAAAGTGTGGGAAGAGCTTTTTGATTTGAGGAAAGAGCATGTGTGAAGCACTTGAGATAGGAAGAGATTTAGTGCACTTCCTAAAGAAGAAGGCGGCTGGTGTGAGCAGTGTGGTCAGCAAAGAGAGCGGTGACATGAGGTGTTTAAGAGGCAGGCAGGAGCTAGATCATGCACGGCCTGGATGCTATGCTAATGACTTTGCATTTTATCTTAATGCAAAGGTGACAGAGCGCGCTGATCTGTATTTTTAACAGATCACTTTGGCTGAACTGAGAATAAAACAGGAGGACAATAGTGGAAGGAGTGAGACCTATGAGAGGACTATTATAGGTCATGGAGGATTGGATTAAAGTGGTGGCAAGAGAAGTAAAGGAGAATCAATACATTTGAGATATATTTTAGAGGTAGGATCAACGGGTATTGAAGGTAGATTGGATGATGGGTGTGAGGGAAAACAAAGTGTGCAGTATGAATTACAAGTTTTGGCTTGGCCAATGGAGTAAATGTATGTGCCATTTACTGAACTGGAGAAGTGTGGAAGGGGGTAAGAATTTCAGTATCAGTGTACCGGTGACAATACCACTGAAATGGATATGTGTGTGTATGTGTGTGTGTGTGTGTGTGTGCGCGCGCACTATTTTTTCCCAGAAATAAATAAGAAAAAAATATGGAAAAAGAAAGAAGAGGGAAAAAGAAGGGGACAGAATGATAATAAATAGAAAATAGAATTCCCAAGGGGAAGATAAAGGGTGGGGGTCAGGACTGCTGAGGGTATGTAATAAGAAAAATACATATTCAACATTATAGTAATTTTTTTTAATTTGGGAAAAATCCCCTATGGTTTTCATCATGCAGATTACAGAAAGTAAATGGAGTAGAATCATTTCTGGTGAGTTTACACAAAGGTGGACTGTCATCCACTTACTGGTGAGTTTTTTAAGAAGGGATGTATCAAAACCCCCAGGGGAATGCAAGGAATGTGACTTTTGTGTTCATAAAAAGAACATGAGTTTAAAAAAAAAGATTCATTGACACCGAGCTAGAAGAAGGGAGATGAGAAGGCAGGATAAAAATAGAGATAGGAAAGACAAAGAGAAATGGGTGGATTTGTCCAGCAAGCAAAGATGTCTCTGCCACCATGCCTATGCCAGTGCAGATGCTAATGGTCACCTGGGTGTGAATCCCAGCCTGGCCACTCAATGGAGGATGATCGCGGGCATGTCAGGTAACCTCTCAAGCCTCGTTTTCTTATTTGTAAAGCAAAGATAATGATAGCATCTACATCATATGGTGACTGTCAGGGTTAGGAGAAATAATTCACAAGAAGAGCTTAACAGCACGCCTGGCTCAGAGGAAGAGCTCAATAAATGTTAGCTGCCTTAACGTAGCTGACTGTTTATAGATGCATAATTACTAGAAAGTCATCATTGTAGCCTGCCTTCTCACTTCCCTATGGCTATGGTGACTTTGCCCTCTTAGCTTCAAAGTCATATAGTTCACTGTATCAAGAAATAGATTTATGATTTGTTAAACATATTGGAGGATTTAATTAATATTTATAAAGAATTTTTTTAAAAAGCAGAGCTGTTAGGCTTTGCTTGTTGCAAACTAATGAAAATGCCCCAGCATAGCCAAAAATATGTTTCTCATTTATTTCTAGAAATGTTAGATATAATTTAAAATTTGGTATTTAACTCCCCTCAAGAGGCGAATCATTGACTTCTAAACTTATTGTTTGAAAATCTCCAAGAACAGAGATGGTGTTCTAAGGAGATCTTATTCACTACGAATCACTCAAAAAATCTATGTTTTCTCTGTCAAAATAATATTATGAAGCCATGTGAAGATATTCTGTCAGAAAACGTTTAACAACACATGCACCATATTCCATGTAGAAATATTACAATTGAGATCTTCCCATTTTATACTAAATTGGAACTATCTTATGGAACACTGTATTCTCTTTTTCTTTCTCTCACTGACTGGCTGCTTCAGTAAGATAGGATTTTATTATTTGTTATACATATGCTTTAGAATCATAATGTAGAATTATGTCTAACCTTTAGACTTAGAAAAATTTGTTTACAAATTGTTGTAGAAAAACTCAAAACATGCTATGATCAAATCTGAACTCCACATTTATTGAGGGAATTGCCTTAACTTAGCTCTGACTTTAGTTTTCTTATATAAAATGGCAGTTACTAAGTAAGATAACAGATGTTAACATCTAGCATTATAACCTATTGTAGAGGTGAAAATTATATTCTTTGTGGTTAGTAAGCACCGACTAGTTCTGCAGTTTTGGATGAGTTAATACCTCAAGGAGTCAGGAAAATGATGACATTAATTTAATAATTTAATTAAAATATGAAACGGCAATAATAGTATCAAATAGGCGATGTGATGCATGGAGCAGAGCATTACTATTTAAAATGTACTAATCAAGAATGCAGCTCTCTTTGAACCTTCCATATGAGGGGAAGGGTGCTAATTAAATTCCAAAGTACATTCTTTGGGAAAAATATAATTAATGCCTTATTAACAATGCATGGGGACCGAGAACATTTAGAGCATCGTGTGATCACGTGTCAGGGCTCTGTGATGACACTAGGAGATCAATGCTCTCAATGTCTCCCCCTGCCCCATGGGAGCAGAAGGGCTCTCCACCCTGAGGAAGATGCAGGGTGCAGAGCAGCGGGCGGAGGTGGATTCGACCCGTTCGTCCCCGTGGAAGCACATGCAACCGGAGAAGATGAGGTGAGAAAGCGCATGCAGTACCTGATCATCTCAGAGTCGGGGAGCAGGCCTAGGTGGTAGTGGGGGTAGGGAGCTGAGAGAAGGAAGCTTTTGTCACACTCAACAGGGGAATAGTGCCTGGGAGAAGCAGGCTTATCACACAGTTTGTTCACAGTGCTGTAAACGGGTTCCGGAGGCCTGGTGACACAAGAGAAAGAGATGCAGGGTTAGCACTCACCCCGAATGACGGGCGCTAGCAGCATCTTACCATAGGCGACGGCGAACGCCCCAGACACGCCCCAGACAATGCCACGGCTTCATAAGGCCTGAGGTAACAGGCTCTTTACAAACAGGTCCTCGGGTTAGAAATCAGAACTTTGGCTGACATGTGGCATGGCTAGAAGTCATGCGTCAAATACCTCAATAGAGTCACAGAAAGAGACACGCATGTGCACTCAGTCCTGTTCGACTCTGGGACCCCACGGACTGTAGCCCGTCAGGCTCCTCTCTCCATGGAATTTTCTAGATAAAAGTACTGGTGTGGGTTGCCATTTCTTCTTACTCCAGGGAATCTTCCTGACCCAGAGACCGAACCCAGGTCTTCTGCATTGGCAGGCAAGATTCTTTACTACTGAACCTCCTGGGAATTCCAACAGAGTCATAATCAACTTTTAAACGTCATATCTTTTTAGATAAACCAGTCTGAAAGGCCAAAATTTGGGATCCTCTGACATGGCTCCTTCTTACACTGGAATCTCATCTTAAATGTGAACTTTGCATAGACTTTCCCTGACCACACTGGCCAGGACACCTTGAACTTTTTTCACAGCACCTATTCATATTTTATAATAATCTTTCTCAGCATAAAATAATCTTTTTTATATTTTCTTTAACTTTTTATTGTCACTCTCACTACACCATAAATTCTATGAGGAGAGAGACTACATTTATTTTTTTTTTAACCATTTACAATACAGTGTGGCACATAATACATACTCTATAAGTATTTGTAGACCGCATGTATGAATGAATAAATGAATACAACTTCCCATATTTATACTGCAAAATTTTTGCTTGGTGATTTGTGGGGGGTGGTTGGCTTTACCTAAGAATCTAATAGGTTCCTCCATATATTTATTCACAGTGTGATTCCTGCCCCCTTGCTCAGTCAATGCGGACTGAGAATGGGGAACAGGGCAGAACAGAGGATAAACCAAGCATTAAAAACGAACTACCTAATTGACAATATTACCGTGGTCAATCATGTGATGTCATCGTAGACACAATGCCTAGGGACCTGGATTCTTTTTCGACACAAATCTTTCCATCACACAGGAGATTCTTTGACTTGTTTATTCTGTATAACACAGCAGAGGGGCTGAGGAGGACTCCAGAGGCCTATTTGTCCTATGCAATACTGACCTCAGTGGGAAAATGAAGTACTTTACAATGGAGTCAGCTTGTTCTATCCCAGCGGCTGTAATATTTACAAGAAGAATTAAAAGTTTTTAAAATAAAAGCGCCAGATTTATTAGGGAATCTATCCTTAGAGAAGACAACTGCTCTGTTTTAAGAAAAATCCAGTAAGTTCATAAATTTCTGTTTGTCAATTTATACATATACATAATTTATACTGGTAAATACAGCACTTAAAAGAGGCAACTGTAAATGATTCTTAAAAACTGCTCTTTTTTTAAAAAAAATATATTTGTTTTTCTTTTTCTGACTTATTTTACTCTGTACAACAGGCTCTAGGTTCATCCACCTCACTAGAACTGACTCAAATGCATTCCTTTTTATGGCTAAGTAATATTCTACTGTATATATGTAACACAGCCTCTTTATCCATTCTTCTGATGATGGGCATCTAGATGGCTTCCATGTCCCAGCTATTGTAAATAGTGCTGCTAGTAAAACAGTACAGATGAACCTATTTGTAGGGCAGGAACAGAGACGCAGACATAGAGAACAGACTATGGACACAGCAAGGGAAGAAGGGGGTGAGACAAATTGAGAGAGCAGCATTGAAACATGTACAATACCATATATAAGTTCAGTTCAGTGGCTCAGTCTTCTCCGACTCTGTGACCCCATGGATTGCAGCACGCCAGGCCTCCCTGTCCATCACCAACTCCCGGAGTTTACTCAGACTCATGTCCATCGAGTCGGTGGTGCCATCCAACCATCTTATCCTCTGTCGTCCCCTTTTCCTCCTGTCTTCAATCTTTCCCAGCATCAGGGTCTTTTCAAATGAGTCAATTCTTCCCATCATGTGGCCAAAGTATTGGAGTTTCAGCTTCAGCATCAGTCCTTCCAATGAACATTCAGGAATGATTTCCTTTAGGATGGACTGGTTGGATCTCCTTGTAGTCCAAGGGACTCTCAAGAGTCTTCTCCAACACCACAGTTCAAAAGCATCAATTCTTCAGTGCTCAGCTTTCTTTATAGTCCAACTCTCACATCCACACATGACTACTGGAAAAACCATAGCTTTGACTAGATAGACCTTTGTTGGCAAAGTAATCTCTCTGCTTTTTAATATGCTGCCTAGGTTGGTCATAGCTTTTCTTCCAAGGAGCAAGCGTCTTTTAATTTCATGGCTGCAGTCACCATCTGCAGTGATTTTGGAGCCCCCAAAAATAAAGTCTGACACTGTTTCCACTGTTTCCCCATCTATTTGCCATGAAGTGATGGGACCAGATGCCATGATCTTAGTTTTCTGAATGTTGAGCTTTAAGCCAACTTTTTCACTCTCCTCTTTCACTTTCATCAAGAGGCTCTTTAGTTCTTCTTCACTTTCTGCCATAAGGGTGGTGTCATCTGCATATCTGAGGTTATTGATATTTCTCCCGGCAATCTTGATTCCAGCTTGTGCTTCTTCCAGCCCAGCATTTCTCATGATGTACTCTGCATATAAGTTAAATAAGCAGGGTGACAATATACAGCCTTGACGTACTCCTTTTCCTATTTGGAACCAGTCTGTTGTCCCATACCCAGTTCTAACTGTTGCTTCCTGACCTGCATACAGATTTCTCAGGAGGCAGGTCAGGTGGACTGGTATTCCCATCTCTTTACGAATTTTCCACAGTTTATTGTGATCCACACAGTCAAAGGCTTCGGCATAGTCAATAAAGCAGAAATAGATGTTTTTCTGGAACTTTCTTGCTATTTTGATGATCCAATGGATGTTGGCAATTTGATCTCTGGTTCCTCTGCCTTTTCTGAAGCCAGCTTGAACATTTGGAAGTTCATGGTTCATGTATTGCTGAAGCCTGGCTCGGAGAATTTGGAGCATTACTTTGCTAGCGTGTGAGATGGGTGCAACTGTGCGGTAGTTTGAGCATTCTTCGGCACTGACCATATAAAATAGATAGCTAATAGAAAGCTGCTGTATAACAGAGGGGAGCTCAGTGTGGTGCTCTGGGACAATCTAGAGGGTGGGATGGGGTGGGGGTGGGTTCAAGGGAAGGGACCTATGTATACTTTGGCTGATTCACCTTGTTGGATGGCAGAAGCCAACACAATATTATAAAGCAATTACCTTCCAATTAAAAATAAAAATTTTAAAGTATTTTTATCTGTTTTTATAGATAATTCACTGATAAATACTTTTTAAAAAAATTATTTTTAATTGGAAGATAATTGCTTTATAATATTGTGTTGGCTTCTGCCATCCAACAATGTGAATCAGGTTTTTTTTTTTCCCCCTATCAGTTTATATAAGTAATTCATGGGCTTCCTAGGTGACTCAGTAGTAAAGAATCTGCCTGCCAGTGCCGGAGACAGGACATACGGATTCAATCATTGGGTCCAGTGGATTTCCTAGAGGCAGAATTGCAACCCACTCCAGTATTCTTGCCTGGAGAATCCCATGGACAGAGGAGCCTGGCGGGCTACCAGTCCACAGGGTGGCAAAGAGTTGACAGGAACTAAATACACACATGCGCTTAATTCACACAGTGGGAAGTTATGTAAAAGAAAACATACTTTCAGTTAGCAATTGAAATACATCTCTTAAAACAGATTGACTATTGTTCATGATTTGGGGACAGAGAGTCTGCTTTTGCTTTGTTGACATAATCAGCTTTATGAAGATTAACATATATTTCCCATGGTTTTAGAGATAGAAAGATGCATGATTCTGATTAGACAAAGTCACCTTGGGAGATCACAGTCTTATTTGTACCTAAAATGTGCTGTCTGCACAAAAATTCAGCTTGGGAAAAGTGTTGTATTACATAGGCTGCATAAATATGAATTAAATAAGAAATGAACAGACAGGTATGAGCTCTATGGGAATTATTCTGGGTAGGTTATCACAAGAGGACCTGCTTTATCCTTCAATTTTTCCACCCTGAAACAGTGCCACTGTGGAGGAGCTAGCTGGATTGCTTCCCAAACATTCATTTTACTTATTTCTTAACATTTTTTCTCATTAATGGAAATCAAAATTTTCATTGGTCACTTTTCCGGTAATAAAGACTTTTATTTCTCAGTTTTGAAGGTAGATGTGGCTCTGGGATTTGTGAGATGGCTGCTTAAAGGGAAGCTGACTTAGCTGAGACTGCTGCAGTTTCACTCTCTCTCTCTCCCTCCCTCTGCTGACCTGGAATCCAGATACAGTTGCTGGAGCTTCAGCAGTCGTCTTGGACCCTGAAGCAGTCTTGAGGATGAAGGTAAACAATTCACGCAGTAGAGCATATTGGCAGAGCTTGTGTCACTGGTGATGTAGAGTGAGAGTACATCACCTTGGGACGACCTATTTCTGGGTATTTTTGTGTGTAAAAAGAAACTATTAATATTTATGCTAATTGAACCATAAAGAATGCTAAGCATTGAAGAATAGATGCTTTTGAACTGTGGTGTTGAACAAGACTGTTGAGAGTCCCTTTGATGGCAAGGAGATCAAACCAGTCCATCCTAAAGGAAATTAGTCCTGAATATTCATTGGGAGGACTGATGCTGAAGCTTGAATACTCTGGCCACCTTATACGAAGAGCTGACTCACTGGAAAAGACCCTGATGCTGGGAAAGATTGAAAGCAGGAGGAAAGGGGGACAACAGAGGACAAGATGGTTGGATGGCATCACCAACTCAATGGACACGAGTTTAAGCAAACTCCGGGAGATGGTGAAGGAGAAGGAAGCCTGGCATGCTGCAGTCTATGGGGTTGCAAAGAATTGGACATGACTGAGCGA